GTTCACTCTCAGAGATATTCCTCATCACTAAAGTTCAGCAAAGAGGAAAATTGTCTTCTTTGTTCAGTTGATTAGCCACATCACTTACACTTCAGTAGTAACCTTTACTAGTGAAATCGAGATATTTGAACGTTTGGGAAATAGAAATTCCAAATCCATATCGTATTTAGGGAGATCAACATTGAAGATATATTGTAGATCATGATACATGTCTGTATATGATGTAATCAATGTGACAAAATTGCAGAAATACCTCGTTCACTTGTTTAGTTCCATAACCATCAAACAATAATATAACACGTTGGAACGAACGTCGACTCTATACCTATATTTTAATTCAAAAAAATTTTGAAAAATAAAGTTAGATGAAGAAATGTCAAAAAAGCAAAAAAGAAAAAGAAAAAAGATGATTGAAAAGGGCCTGGGCAATCTGTTTAGATGGCTCAGACAATTGGACCATCGAACTTCTACCCAGATGAAATTTTTTTCTCTTTTTTGCTTAAACAATTTATAGATTTATTTAATAAATTGTAAGAATTATATGTATAATTTAACAATTAAAAAAACAAACCAATTTAACGAAAACGACATTAAATATACATAAATATACTTACCAATTCAAAATAATGGATATTAACAAGATCTCTGGATTGGACTTTTGATATATTTTTTAAGTTTTAGTATTGAAGAAGATGAAAAACAAGTGTTGTTAATTGAGTTGCCCTTGTTTGGAATGAATATTTGAATATTAGATGACATAATCCTTGATAAGTCACACAGTATCATATCATTAGACAGTTTAAAATACATTCAAAATTTTCATTCAATCATCAATTGTCACACACATTTGTCAACCTTTCTATTTTTTTCTTTCAAAATAGATTAATCTTAATATCTTTTTATTCTACCGTATTTTAATAATTATTAATTTTATGAAGGCTATTTATTTTTCCGTCCCATTCATATAGACTTGTTTTATTTTTCACGCAGATTAAGAAATCTTATTTAATGTTATTGAAAGAATAATTTTTGCCAAAAATTTTCCTAGTTTACCCTTATTTATATTTGTACAATCTCAAGATTAAGTAAAAAAATTTGATTATAACTAGACAAATTAAATAAATGTGTATTAGTAAATGAAAAAAACAAAGTATTTTCAATAAAGAAATATGACTATATAATTGGGACAAGAAAATAAGAAAAATCAACCTATATAAATGAGTCAAATGAAGTATTTTTTTTGAATGATGCTACACGTACATCATGATGTTCATTGTTGACCTATTGTTGACTTCATTCTCAATGTTTTGATTATAACAAACAAGATTGATATTGTTTCTAACAATTTATTTTGAGTGATGATAGCTCAAGTATTGATAAAAACTTTGATAAAAAAAATTAAGTTCAACCAATCAAAGTATTTTAATGAGAAGATGAAAAATAATTAAATGCAATGTAAATTCAAATAATTTTCTCAAGAAATATTTCTCTTTTAATGAATGATTATAATAAATCTAATACTAAGAGAGAAATGAGAAACTTTGATGAATATTATAATTTTACAAATTTGATTCAATCAATCAAAATTTTTAATATGAAGAAGTTGAAAAGTTTATGCAATATAAGTGCAAAAAACTTTTTCAAGAATATATCTTTCTTTGAAAATTGATATAAATAAGTTGAGAACAAAGAGATATGAAAAAAACTTTGATGAAGGAAACTATTCAAGGAATTTGATTCAACAATCAAAATTTTTCAATATGAAGAAGTAGAAATATTTATGCAATGTAAGTGCAAATGCCTTCTTCAAGAATATACCACTCTTTTAAGAATGATATGAATAAGTTAAACACAAAGAAGGGTGTAAAACTTTGATGAGAATGATAATTAATGAGTTTAAATCAAAGTTTTTGATATGAGGAAACAAATGAAGACTCAAAGAATTCTTAAAATAAAAATATCTCTCTTTGATTCACTTGGAAAATTCTTTAAGAATGGAAAGAGTAAGGATATTTATAGAGTTCAAAAATGAGAAAAGAATATGTATTGACGGAAGACTAATCCGGTCGACCGCCTCTTACTCGAAAGATCAATTTAGCCGTATGTACAGCAAAAATTAGAAGTCAGAACGATCAAATTCTGGACCTTTAGAAGGTGTCCAGTCGACCGCCTCCTACAGTCGGTCGATCGCCTCTCTGGGCGGTTGACCACCCCAGCAACGCTTGGGAATTATCAATGAATTTGAAATACGTAACTAAATTGATACTAAATATTTTCGTATGATTGACTCTATGTGCAAAAAAAAAAAAATTCCAAATGATTATACTTTCGTCATTTCATCACTCATGCTTTGACTCATATTTTGACTATAAAGTGATGATTATCTTCTTATTTAAACTTGCACATATTTGGCATCTTGTGATTAATTGAGGGGAATATTATACTATTTTCTAATGGTTGACTTAAAGTTTTGATCGTATATAACATACTCCCTAAATGCTACCCTTTTAAGATAAAATTTGAAAAACATTACTCCTCTTATAAAAGATAGGGAGAATACATGTATAAAAGATAGGGGAATAATGTGATATCTAAATATTCTCTATGGTCATGTTTTGATCTTAAATGTTATATCTTTTTGCTTATGCCAAAGGGGGAAATGTAGTGAGATGATTATGCATGCTTTGAATTGAAAATATAATGCATGTAGTGAAATGATTGTGCATGGCTTTGAATTGAAAATATAATATACTTGGAGTATATGAAAAAGAGGAAAAGAGTGAATTTATGCTTTAAATATGTGGTTATTGATTTGTAAAAGTAACGGAGAATATGAACTATGTGATAAATTCATAATGTATATTCTTTTATCAAATTGATATAAATTGTTCAATTCTACTTGCAAATCATCTTGTTTGTCATAATAAAAAAGGAAGAAATTGTTGACCTATGGTTGACTTCATTCTCAGTGTTTTGATCATAACAAACAAGATTGATATTATTTCTAACAACTTATTTTGAGTGATGATAGTTCAATGTTAAAAGCTATCAAGCAACATATATTGGACTTGAAATGAAGATCAAATTGGAAGTTGCTTATGCACTT